CTGAAATTCATAGCATTTTAACAACCTCTTCTCACGTATCTGAAGGCTGCTTATTGGATCATTGAAGGTTAATATAATTTTATGTGACTCCGGTTTAAACATAAAAGGCAGAACAGTTTCTGATATTTTAGCGTGTGTCTGCGTGAGGTAATCGGAGCTCCTAACGCACAAGCTCTTGAAGCTCCGCCCACTGTGTCGGCAGCTGCAGCTCTTTTGCATTTAAAGGGACAGACACAAAAACGGTGCATTTTTGCTCCGCCTCAAAACATGACAACTTTAACATGCTAGATAAAAATATCTGCAGGTTTGTAATCAGTTACAAATATATTGGGCCAAGATAGTTTCTGAAATGAGTAATATCTTTAATATGGAGTTGGGATTGGATCCTTTATTTTTGATACTGGGTCTGCCAGATAAAGCTTTGGTTCTTTCAAAAGAAAAAAGGTTGTATAATCTTCTTACTTTTTAAAGTTGAAAATGTTCAATCAATCAATAAATCAATATAAATAATAATATCTGCAGGGTATTTTGAGTTAAAAATTGGGGACATAAGAGATTTATTTTACGTCTTGTGAAAAGGGCATTATACCATCCCTTTAAGAACAAGTAGTGCAATAAACAAGTGGCATAAACTACAGAGTCAGTTACAAGCTAACTAGTAGTTATAAAGCCTCTAATGTGGACTTTACGTTCCAGTTCAAGTAAGAACTTGCGAATGACTGGTGCAACCCCACCTTGGTCGGTATCTACGTCGCTATGATCAGATGCTTTCTTAATTGCTGTTTTCTCACCACTGTCATTTTGTTGCATGTTTATTTTGTTATTGAAGGGAAACTCACAGCACATATTTACATATCATCTAATTGTTCACTAACAGTTATACATAACTTCTTTTTACCCCTAAGTGGAGAACAAAAAAGAACCAAATTATTAAATTGGGCCACGTTCTAATAATTATTTACCTTGTTTAAGTAAAATCAAAACGAGGGAATGAATTTGTTCAACATGGCCACACAAATTACTAAAATGAGGGAACGTATTCTTTAAATTGTGTCCACGGTATATTTATTTTTGTCCACATGTCATGAGCGGGGCTCCAGAGATGTAAATGAACTGAAAAGCTCATCGGTTTGACTTTTGTGTGTTACCGGGTACTTCTGTGCTGGCTTGTGCTCGTCCAGCTGGTTAGCTTTAGGAGGAGATTCCTTGCTTTCGGAGATTTGTTTTTGTCATGTTGTCACAGGCTGTCAATTAGAGGCCTGTTCCTTTTAGCCTGCAGCTTATTTGCCCTTTTCCCACACACACCCTGCCTTTGTCAAGAGGATGACACGATGCCAGCAATTATTGTAGCAACCCAATGGTCTCTGGGTGTCATCTGATGATGGTTCTCAACTGGATTTGCTTCCAGAACCAGGTTTTACATTGAATGAGCAGAGGCATATGGAAAAAAGTATGAAAATATATTTGTGGTTCCAGACTACTGACTCTTGCATTTTAGCGCATGCACTTCAAGAAAACCAATGGAAAAACCCCCAGAGAAAATACAAATATTTACAGATGACTGTATATACCAAACATAATGCTGAAAATAATCTTGTATGGTCCATTTATGTTAAAAATGTGCATAAAAATATACAGATAGGTTTGGGTCACATATAAGGTCATATTTGATTCTGGATAACCCCCGATAAATGGGAGTATCTGCCGTATTACCAAAGTTAAAGAGGAATTTCTACCACAATACCATTAAGTTTAATTGCGAGGCAGCACGTTGCCAAATTTGTTAAAATCACACGTTAAAATTGTATTGCTAGGTCGTATCAGCTACATTGCACAGCGAAGGATGAATTTGTACTGAAATGCCATTTAGTTTTATTTTTTGTACACTTTTTTTTTTTACTTAAAAAACTAAAGTAAAAACAAAATTGTCATGCTTTAGAATCCACTAAACAAATAGGCACTAATAAAAAAATATATTAGAAAATATATTTATTAAAAAAAAAATATATATATATATATATATATATATATAAATTATATATTATATAAGAAATGTAATTTGTGCCAAAATTCACTCCTAATTTTTTTGGTCGTCACTGGGGATAAATGTGTTGTTGTTTTTTCTTCCAGAAAGTGTGTTAGCGCCGACTATGGCCTTAGTCTAAAATCAGCTGTAATGTTTCAGCTGTAATGTTAATGCAGAACATGATCTCACTGAGCTATGCGAGAGATGCATTTGCGAGACTGAACACCCAAATCCGAGGCACGAGTCGACTATATGTGACAGATGCTTTCAGGAAATAAAAGCATCATGCTTTGTCCCAGTGTTTAGGACTAATGGACCAGCAACCGTACATCGGGTTGTAGCTGATTGTTAAAATGCACAAATTTCGATTATATTGTCTATAAAATGCATTTAGACTGCTTTCATAAAATACTTTTTAATTACGATGTTGTCGTGGGTGACGAATGCCATTCAGCCTCTGCGCAGTCTTTATTTGCGGTGTCTACTTATTAAGAGCTCTGGTTCTGGTTCTGGTTCTGATTATAATTGAATGCAAAGTCAATAAGCCACAGATAGGGAAGAGCACGCTTGAAAATGATTAATGGCTTTTCTAACAAAGGTTGCCTTGCTAATCTCAGATCTAATAAATTAATTATGCATTCATTTTTCAGCTAGGTTTTATATTTCATATACAGGTTTTTATTATTTAATTTATTTATGTAATTTATTTTCAATAATATTGTTTTGCATCCCTAGCAGTGATGTATTAAAGTGTCGCTGATTTTCATCCCGCTTTGAAAAAAGGGTTCCTCTGGGTTCTATATAGAACCCTAGGGTTCCATACTTGGCCAATAGAACTTTTTACCAAAAAAAATGGTTCTATATAGATCCATATATGAAGCGGGGGATGGAACCATTTGTTGTTCTAAATAGAACCATTTCTTGTAAGAGTGTATTGTAACAATGTTGGTGGTATAATTAAATGAACAATGTTTACTCGTACTCCTTGTTACCGAGAGAGAGTCTGCCCTGCCGGATGACTTGACAGCTCCAGAGCTTTCGTGAAAACTACAGATTATTCTTCAGAATTTTTGTGTCCCCGCCCACAGACAGTCGGATCGACAGAGGGTTATTAACAGAACAGTAAGATTATTGAAAATTGTATTGTGTCTACTCTTTAAACAGCATTATGGTAAAAATGATTGTTAGTTTCTAAACGTTTTAAATGTTTTATGTTGCACCAGAGGGCTAATTAATGTTAATGATAATTGCTTTCTTGTTTCATTCGTTCGGCTTAACTGGAAGTTCTAATATTAAGTAAAATAAATTATTTATACCTAGAGTTATCCTAGATTATTGATGAAGTTGTCCATGATGTGGTTAAAGTTATGATGATTATCCTAATTTTCATATTCAAAACATGTACAATATCCACAACACGCTGATGCTGAGGAGAAATGCTTTGGCAGACTTTTATCCTGCAGCTAAATTTCTTTCATTCACTCTCACAAGCACACACTTGCCCAGTTTTTCCTGCAGTTGCAGTGTTTAGCAAGTGTATTAATATTTAATTCCTCTATATACTCACCACCTAATGCTGAAGTCTTCCCGGAGTGTCTGGATGATTTTTGAAATGAACAATGAAGCCTTTGCTTCATCTTTCCATCAGTCATTAGCTTTAGAATTTTATATACAGTAGCCACACTTTAAAAATTCAGCATCACATGGAGCCTTTAACCCGACAAAGCCAGACGATAAAACTCGCACACCGCCGCGAGATCCTTAACATGCGGCAAAGGCTTGAATTGACCGCCTGAAGAATAACAATGGGGTGAGTTGTCGAGACGAACAGAGCCTTGTCACAGAATATATACTTTCGATAATGAGGGAGGGTGCCAAATGTGTAATCTGAGGGGTTGCTAGGCAACTGCATCAGCATCACTCCGGCAGCCTCATGTCAAGAAACGCATTGGAACGGCGCAATGGCATCGCCTGGCTCGTTTATGTGATTTGCTGTGCGTTGATTGAAGGCAGCATGACCCATTGCCTTCCTCTTATCTGTGATGGTAAATTCACACACAGGCTGAACCGCTCCGTATAAAGCAATTAATCCATTCATTGTTTTCCTGTGATGATCAGCTGATGTGGGTTTTTTAAATGCAGATGCCAATATTTTTGCTTGATAATACGCAAAGCTTTGTTTTTTGTGTTTGTTCAATGAACCATTAAGAACTATTGCACATGCAACACTCTTCTGTGTAACATGATCCTGCATAAATCATTCAAATTATTCTATTTTGAAAACAGTTGCCGCTTTATTTTTGTGGAACCAATTTTTAAAATTCAAATGTACTGTATCTTGAATAGAAAATGATTGGGGAAATTAAAAAAAATATATATATTTTTTTAAATTTTCATTAATTTAATGCATCCTTGCTTAAACTTTACTGACCCCAAACTTGGTCATATATATATATATATATATATAATTACATATAAATATATATATATATATATATATATATATATATAATATATAATTATATATAATTACATATAAATATATATATATATATATATAATTAATATTTAAGTTATTTACTGTGTATTGTACATTCTGTGTGTGCACAGTTTTAAACAGTGCAGTTCAAATGGATACATTTTATTATTAATTATTATATTATTCATAACTTTATAATTCACAGAATTTAAATTCCATGTTATATCTTTAAATTAGTAGCCTATATATCTGTGATTGATTAAGTTTCATCTGTTTCATCAGTCTTGGACTAAGTGACCAAAAATGATTGCAATGTCTTGCTGGGACTGATTTATTCATTAATGCATTCCATTTTTTATTTACTGGTCTGACATCTTCATTAGTACTGAAATGAATACGGCTTTGCTTTGTTATGTGCTTCTACATCTTGCTGTCTGAAGAGCGTACTGTTGATGACTGTCCTTTTAAAATCCACCCCTGTTTTTGCTCTTGCAGCTTCCTGAACACCTTCAGGCTCAGAAGTGCTGAAGCCTCAGACACATTTCACCCGCTTCCTAATCGATTGTGACGCCAAACTCCTCTCTCCCTCTGCTGAGGGAGCAATTGCCGCCTGTACCCCTGCTGTCCACTACACGAGAGCAGGTGACTGGAGTACACACACTTTATTCTCACAAGTCACCTGAGATATAATGTTCCTGCAGACCAAGCAGTGCATGTCCACTCAAATGTCCTTTTCATGTCCTACATCACTGGGGAACAAACCTATTTGAAGACCTTGCATATCACAAATGTGAAAAGTGAAATGTTCAAATAACAGGAAATTACATGTAGAAGACGTTAGAAATAATCGAAGTTGCAGTGTGCCCTTATGTCAGGATGTTCATATCCATGTTTTGGTGTCTTTTTACTGCCTTTTTGAGAGCAAAATATATTTTTTTCCCTTGAGTAATCCTTTGCCTCATAGAGGTACACTGTCACTATCATACCCACAAAAATAATTACATGATTAATCAAATTTGACTGAGAAATTACCCCCAAAAGTAATTTTAAATTGTAATAATATTTCACAATAGTACTATTAAAAAATATTTTAACATGTAATTTTTTTACTGTGATAGTGTGGAAGCAATTTAATGTTCTATATATGTGCATTTTCTTATTCATATATGCATACACTCTAAACAACACTGGGTTGATTTAACCCACATTTGGGTCAAATATGGACAAACCCAAATGTTGGGTTAAAGTTTTAAACCCAACTTCAACTTTCACTTTCAACTGTAATTTTTTATTACATTTTTAACCCAACATTTGGGTTTGTCCATATATTTGACCCAAATTTGGGTTGAAACAACCCAGCTTTTTTTAGAGTGTAGTAATTAGATTAAGGTAGTAAACACGAGGACTACATGTGGAGTCTAATGATTCTATGTTACATTGATGGAACAAAGAACTATTAAAGGATTAGTTCACTGTTTAAAAAAAACTTTTCCTGATAATTTACTCACCCCCATGTTATCCACCCCCATGTCCACATCTTTTTTCCTTCAGTCGAAAAGAAATTAAGGTTTTTGATAAACATTCCAGGATTTCCTCCATACAATGGACTTCATTGGGTACCAAACATTTTAAGGTCCAAATGAGAGTTTCAGTGCAGCTTCAAAGGGCTTTAAACGACACCAGACGGTGAATAAGGGTCTTATCAAGCGAAACGATCAGTCATTTAATAAATAAATAAAAAAGTTTAAGTTTTATAAGCACAAATGCTCGCCTTGCTCTGTTCTGTGATGACCGTTCGTCTCAAATTCGTTCATCAAAATGAACAAATCTTTTTTCGAGTCACGACACGAAGGGTCCTAGATATGACCCTTATTCATCATCTGGTGTCGTTTAAAGCCCTTTGAAGCTGCACTGAAACTCTCATTTGGACCTTGAACCGTTTGGTTCCCATTGAAGTCCATTATATGGAGAAAATCCTGGAATGTTTTCATCAAAAACCTTAATTTCTTTTCGACTGAAGAAAGAAAGACACGGAAATCTTGGATGACATGGGGGTGAGTAAATTATCAGCAATTTTGTTTTTTTAAAAGTGAACTACTCCTTTAACCCTTATCAGTGTATGTACAGTGTGTGTGTATGACCTTGTAAACGTGACTTGACAAAACGTAATGTAGGACTTGAGAAAACGTATAACTGAGACAAAGGGCCTTTTACACATTAGTAGTAGGATGCAACAATGTGTTTGTTATGGGACATGTTGTTCATGATGGCATAGAGGGAGTGAACTATGAGGAAGAAAGCATGCCTTCCCTTCTTGGTCACACTCTGTAGCCATTCTGGATGACTATATGACTGCTGGCCTTTTCTTACGAGAAATTAAATAACCTCTAAAGACAATTAATCATGCTTGTCTCTTATTGAGTAATGTAAAATTGTTTGCCACCACAATAGCAAAGCAAATTTTTCAGCAGCAATTACTCCAGTCCATAATCCTTCAGAAATCATTCTAATATGCTGGTTTGATGCTGTGCCCAGTTTGACTGCAAATGTGGCACAGGAACCGAGGATCTTGTCAAGACTTGTTCCACCTCATGTGGTGGTGTTTTACTTCCTTTTTGAGAGCAAAACTTAATTCATTCTCTTGAGTAATCCATTGCCTCATATATGGTTCACTGGTATGTCAGGACAGCCTGGTGCGCAAGAGGATTGCGCATAGTAAAGATCTTGTCTTGTTAGAAGAAGAACGAGAACACCATTCCCAGTGCAAACGAGTACACGCATGAGCATGAAGTGGCAGATCAGATCTCATCTTGTTCTCTCCCTCCTCTGTAGACTTCTGGAATGGCTTCTAAACCTCATCCGCCTCTGATGAAGAAACACAGTCAGACCGATCTGGTGAGCCGACTCAAGACTCGCAAGATCCTCGGGGTCGGTGGAGAGGATGATGATGGAGAGGTGCACAGGTCAAAGGTCAGTATTTGTATATCATGTCCTTGTACATTTACTTACCCAAGTTCCATGACTTAAACATAGACATGCATGTTAATATTTTGCATTCTGTTGTTGCAGTGAAAACGTATGTTTATATTGTCTGTGTGCGATTAGAAGCAGTACAAAACACAGCAATGCGATCTGCTTGAAATAGGTGCATTAATAGTAGGGCTGGGTAATAAATATCGATTTCTCGTTTTTATGAACCAATAGACGAATCCGGCGAAACTACCGGAAGTAAGCGGGGCGCCATTACTGAGCTGTTGCTGGGTAGCGTTGCGCCATTGCCTCCTATTGTTTTAGTTGCAACTTGCGTCCACTGGAATAAACAGCCCGCGATTTACGACTGTCACTAACGTTGCACCGTTAGCCCTTGTATAATGTCGAGTGGGTAAACAGTTTCCGTTATAAATTGTTTCAATGGTGGCAGTAAAATTTCAATTTTGAAGAAAAAACACTGTGAATACCCCGGGTCGACTGCCCCTGTCTGGAGCCGTACTGTTTACACAGATTTCCTGGGCAAGTACAAGACGCGGAAATTCGCGTATAATAACAATTATTTAATGACATAAAAAATATAATAAATATGTGATATAGTGATCAGCAAAATCTCCTCTCTTGCTATTTTTTCTATTCAATTAACATGCTATGGTTATTAAATGGCTTTCCTGAGCTAAATGTAAAGTTATGTGACATAATTGTTCTCCTGCTGTTATATTGACCTCTTTCCATGGTTTAAAAACACTAATTGGTCGATATCATGTATACTTTCTAGCTGTAACGTTACCTTACCCTTGCCTGTTGCAATGTGAAAATGAGATAAATAATGGACACAAAGGAAAAACACGAATTTATTTATTTGATTTCATTCATTTATTTATTTATTGTTGCCAAATGGACAGATCTTTTTTAGTTTCCTCAGCAAAAGTCATGAGCAAACGTTAGCAGCTAACGTTAGCTTGCCAACTTGCCAAGCTATTTTCATAAATAATCTTTAAGATCATTTGTACCTTCATCGGTGACTGGAGGCCACTGTCTAACATCATCAACCCAACAAGTCATTCTGCCTGTCTGTAGCTGTCATCGAGGGTGCTTTCGCGTTTTCACCGAGGTTTGTTTACATACCGGTGCATATGTCTATGCCGGTGTAACAGCTCAGTAATGGCGTCGCCACAAGATGGCAGCCTACACAGAACGCTCGTCGGATTCGTCTATATCGATTCTTAAATCTCAAGAATCGATTAGTCATCCTGTTTCATTTGAATGAATGGATCATTGCATCGCGGCTGCGCGCATCCAAAAAATCGCAATAATCTTTGTCCTTTTTTTTACTATTGATATGAAACAAAGTCTCAATTTTCAAATTACGTCCATTTTCTTTAGAAATTCAAAAACATAAATAACGTTTTGGCGCTGTGGCGTGAGATCGCTCTGGCGGAGCACAAGAGAAACAGCAGCGCTGATCTCTCTTCCGGGTTAATAATACCAGTCACAGCGCGAAATAAACATGAATGAGCATCTGAAAGTGTGTTAAAGATAGAGTACAACTTATCGAAATCCGTATCATGTCACATTGATTCACTCAATCAGCGTTTCAACTGTGGAAAGACGTCAGTTAAACAGCTTGCAATCAATGTCATGTATCGTCATATTTACCTCAGAAAACCCACATAAACTCGTTAGTCAGCTAGAAAAAATAGCTCTAGAGAGGAGCATTTTGCTAAATCTATACACCATATTACATATGCATTATAATATTAATGTTCTTCAATATTTAATGCATATTTGAATAAATCTGGCAAGTTTTTTATGACAGCCACCATTTAAATGTTTATATTTCATATAATCTTATTATAAAAATAAATTCAAGTGTTATTTAAGTGTTTGTATAGCTACAAAACAGTTCATTATTACCCTCATATTAGGCTAATGATGCCTAGTAGGATACAACTAGCCTCCCATAGTTTACAGCATTAGTTAAGAGGCTTGATTTCCTTGAGGAAATGTGCCATTTATTGTAACTGATATCCAAAATAATTCAATCCGAAATTGAATCAAATTGTGAAATTTGTGTCAATACCCAGCACTATCTAATAGGCTCATTTTGTCTCAAATTTGCCTGCTTCTTTTTGAGTAGTGTGGTACCATTAGTCGGGTTTTAGTATTAGTATTAGTATTTTTTTTTTTTTACCTGCAATGTTTGATGCGCATAACAGCACTGGCAACTTAGCGACTTTTTATGCAATGGGAGTAGATGGGAGATTTAAATATAATGCTGTAATCAACATTTTCATGATTAGTTTTCATTTTCGTCTTGGCAGCTGTAATAGTTAAAACGTACTTAAAGTTTTCAAAAGAGTGTAATACTTATTTCATATGCAAAGTTACCCAATCACAGCAATGGGCTTTTATTTTAAACAGAGTGTTCAAATCAAAGGGATAAAAAGGGTATAAAATTGCTTTTATTTCTAAATGAAAACAGTTTTTAATGCAAAAATACTTCAGGAAACATTACAAAAAAAAAAAAAAAATGCAGTTTATGAACCCCTTTAAAGGGGTCAAGACATAAGAAATCATATTTTTCTTGATCTTTTGACATATAAGACACCATTGTTTCATAGCTTAAAAATTCCTCGTGTTAGGAACAGGTGTTACTAATAATCCTTTAAATGAGTGTATATGAAGAGTTCAGATGCAAAAGCCTCTAAATGCCATTTGAAATTTTCTTCTTTAATGATGATTTTTATCAAACTTGTATATTTAAGTTCAGTAATTTCACTTAAATAACAATTAATAGGTAATTATCATTGCCATTTAAGTGAAATTACTGAACTGAAATGTACAAGCTTGATAAAAATGATCATTCTAGAAGAAAATTTCAAATGGCACTTAGAGGCTTTTGCATCTGAACTCTTCATATATACACACAGTGCTCATGTTCACAAATATGCTCTTTGATGCTTATACCCAATCCTGATGCAGTTTGTCCTCGCTCATAAGAATTGTTTATGGGGTTTGCAAGAGAGGAAGATGGACCTATTCACAACTAAAAATACATGAAGGAAGCACTCCTTTTTAATTTTCACTCGTCCTCACGCTGTACACCCACAGGAAAGTGATACGGTGAAACGGCTGTTGTTTCCTCCATGAGTTGGAGGTTTGAGTTTCCTGTATATGGAGTGAATGGTCTTGGTTTTGCGAGACGTTGGAGTTCTTCAGAGCTGTGGTATGGGCCCTGTCCCGCACTTCCCCTTTCAGCACATCTGATTCAGCTCTGTGGTGTTTTCACTAATATAGGGCCTTTTGTAGGATTTAACAGAGCCATTCAGCAGTATTAAACACTATGGCTATTCAGTATAATTTGAAAAGACTGATGGAATTATATGATTTAGGCATCTAACAAGCTCCCATTTGCAGAGATTGCAATGAAAGGTCTTCTGGGTTGCACAACTGTGTTCAGTGTTTTAGGAGGAGACTAGTCAGAACAAGCTACTCATGATTTAAATTAAACTTCAGTCAAAGGTATCCTTGTGAAAAAAAGTACTTAACTTCTTTGAAGCTGCAAGTGAGCAGATAGGCAGTATATATTAATCAGAGCTTATTTCTCTGACTCCACAATAAGAATTAGAATAGAATTAGAATTAGAATAAATCTTTATTGTCCACCAGGGTGGACACTTTTCTTTGGCTCACCAAACATACAAGACAGGTAAACATACAGACAACGTCTTGAACATAGTAAAGTAAATATATATAGATTTTTTTTTTTTTTAAGAAAAAATTTAAAATATCATTATGAAAACAAATACTTCATTAGTAATAATAGGAATTTAAATGAATGAATTTTGACTCAGGGTAACAGCATTTACATGAAATGGGAATCTTTTGCAACATTATAAATGTCTTTACTCTCCCCTTTGATCAATTTAATGCATCATTGTTGCAAAGTATTAATTTCTTTTTAAAAAATCTCCAAACTTTAACCAAAAATTAACATTAACCAAAAATGTTGTCGCTATTTACTCACCTTCATGTTGTCTCAAATTGTATGATTAAAGAAGATATTCTGAAGAACCTTTTTTGCCCATACAATGAAATAAATGTACGTCTGTAAGTCATACAGGTTAGGAATGACGTGGATGGATGAATTATGGCAAAAGTTTCAGTTTTGGGTGAACTACTGTATCCCTTTAATGGAGACTTTGCATTGTTGTAAAGGTGCATTTACACCGCTGTTTGTTGGAGATTAGATTACAGGTCACTGTGGGTCACATCCTTTAGTTTAAATGACAGATTTACTGTAAAATTTCTGTTGCTTTCCTTTCCCTGTATTGCACATTTTGTCCTTCACGAATGTGCCGTTGATGAAGGATGAAGGAGCAGGCGGTCACACAGAGCAGATTAAAAACAGCATTGTTTATTTCTTCCTGTTCCTGCCTTCCCTCTGGCTTGGGCCACACTATCGTGCATGATTATTCCTGCTAAATGAGTCTCACGCTCATGATTGAGGTCGGCTTCCTGGTGTAGGGTCTGTTCCTGTGAAAACCACGCATGCTAGAATGACTGTACAGATGCATGATTCAGTAATGCCACAGAAGCCAGAGGCCAAACCCCCATGCAAACAGATGCACATGTCAGAACACATGCACAATCACATGACACACACCGAGTGAAGCTCTGTTTTTATTTGTGCATGGCCTTTTGGTGTAAATGGCCCGTGAAGTATCCAAATGGAAGTTGCATTTGTATCAGCAGTTGTTTTGACAGTGTAAAGATGTGGTAATAAACCCACTGATCCCTCCATATCCTTTTTACAATGTTTGATATGCTCAAAAGAACAATATACTGAATGTTTATATATCTTCCACACAAGTCGACCTGGGCTTTGGTTAATCACTCTCATTGCAATGCCTGGCTTTTATCTTCATGCTCGACTCTGACCTGCAGTAGCCTCTCATTAGGATGTTGATACTCGCTGAG